CTTGGAACCTCGTTTTCTCAGGTTTTAGAATTCCATGAAAATTCAATTAAATCCTTCTCGTAAATTGGCAGCAAACTGACACGTACAAGGATATCTCTATTGGCATTCAATCCTCCCCGAATAAACGGACGTTAAAAACAGCGACGTTCTGTCTCCGCGTCGATTTCAAACCTGTTTGCAAGCTTTCGCATTAACTCTGGAAATTCGATCGGAATTTATCAGCGGGTGACATCCCGCCGTTGCGGATAGCGTTCCGAATTGCGTCGCGAATTTCAACAACGGACGATAATTTCAACGACCGGTGGCTACGCTCGTGTCAGTGTCGACGATACTGTCTCGTTCCGACGGTCCATCATTCGTGGCCGTTGTACGCGGCCACGGATCGACGCGCGGATTTTTATGATCTGGCATAGAAAACGGGAAGGAAATTGCCGCCGTGTCGAAAGACGAGGTTTTACGAGCGAATGCACGACGTGGTTTGATGCTCGCTGTGCGCGCTGTACCGTAAATCAACTGCTTGGCGAATTTCGAAAGACTCGGTGATAGGAACAGAACGTTACACGTGTATCTGTTTAATGGCCAAAGATATTAGTAAGTCGAATGTATGATTTCTGTTCTACGTCGGTTTTTTGTTTCCGCTTTTTCTTTCTTGGAACGTTCATATCAACGTCGATAATCACGTCGACTCGTTGAGAAAGGTGTATTTAAGGTAGTAGATTAACCGTATTTTTCTACATCGCGGTGTAGGGTAGTCGGCCATTACACTTGGAAAGTAAATATTTCCAACTTGAAATTAAACGAATGTTAGATAACCGAGATGTAGAAATGTCAGCGTCAGCGTGCATTGCGGGTTTTTCTTCTAGGACAACTATAATGTACAAGAGTTAACGATACGTGCAATACTTTCAATCTCCGTAAAATAAATCTTCTCTGTCTGCTTTGTAAACTTTCGTAAGAAACAAACGAGTAATCTAATTTATGTGAATTAATAATTGATTCTTTTTTACTCTTCCCATCCGTTATAGTTATATTTATATTATAAAAAGAAAAGGAAGCTCTCAACAGGGAATTGTTAGCTTAGATACAAGTACTATGTCGCCTTAGGAGGTACAGTCGAGTGCAAAGAGTTAAAGTGACGAATAACTTTGAGAATAATTGCATTTGTAGATTAAAATGATTAAAAATAAATATAACTCGTAGAATCGTGATTCGAGTGATCGGGATTGTTACGGACGTACGCAACAATATCGAAAGCTTTCCATACGTCGTTGAATATCTCGTCTGACCAGCGGAAGTCTGCCCGGAAGTCGCAGATGTCCGCGGATGTAACTTTATGCATCGATCAGATGCAGCGGGCACGGGAGTCGCTCCGTCGGTGTTATTGAATTATTAATATAAAGCCGGGCATCTGCTCGGACGCATTTCGGCCACGTTCCAACAAACCGAACAGGACAGTTCATAAAATCCTTATCCCTCGAGCGGTGATTTCATTCTAAAGCGATAATCGAAAGCGATAAAGAATCCTCAGAGTCCTCCGGGCGCCCTCCGCTCCTCTGTGTTTTCTAATTTCTCTCTGGGATAACTCGCGCGGCACGGAACGCGGCGTTTTAGAATGCATTAAACTTTTGATTAAATCTGCGCTGCTGGAATACGCGGGATTCGTATGACACGGTTAAATGCACGTCCCTTCTTTCACCACGGGACTGGAGCTACCGATTCATTTGCACCGATCCTTTTTTTTTTAAATAGATGGGATTTTCCGATTTTCGTTTAGTACTCTCGTCCTGGACTGGTGTCCAAATATTTCTCACTCGATCAGTAAGAGAAAGATAAATAATTTTTCAAAAGGTAGATAGATAGGAAATATAACTGCGTCGCGTTGTCAGATCGTTGGAGATCGACTCGCAAGTACAGCGACAACCGGGTGAATTTGTTTGCTGTCTGCTGAAAATTGCTGGCCTCTGCCCGTGCGTGTGCGGTATAATAAAGAGTGCCCGAGATTAACGGATACTGCTCTTGGAATGTACACAACGAATTGGCGACAACCCGTATTATACGTATAATTCACCAACGAACTCTCCACGCGCTACTCGCCGCGAATCGATTCGCCGGCTACTTACAACAACGTTCGTTTCGGGCAAATCGGTGCAAATTGCGTAGACAGGCAGAGCTGGCGTTATTTATTACTTTATCGCGTTTACGCAGCGATCGGATCCGATTGTTCAGCAAACACCTTGACAATTGCCGCTGCGAAATGAAAAGTGGGCTCCGACGGAAGCGAATTTGCATCAGCTGACTTTGTCCCTCTTAATCTCTTTTAACGGCGGCGCTAAACGATCGTTCAATTAAATCCCGATGTAAATTCAATGCGCTTATTACCCTCCCCTCCGATGCTCGAGTCGTGATTTATTCCGCTGGCTGGCACAGAAATGCGAATTTCTACTACGAAACCTATAAATCATCTATCTGAAACAGCGTCAGCTCGCGCGATTCGCCCCACACTTTGCACC